ATGAGAAGCCATCAAGGCTTTCCTTAAACTTAAACTTAGTTAGGGGAGTCGTAACGATTCATCCCCCTAACATCTTAAACTTATCGTGGTGGCTCTTCACCACGATTCTCAAGAGCATAACTGCTGCTCCTCTTAAAAGTCTCAAGAGCATAACTGTTGTTCTATCTGAAAGATCCCAAGAGCATAACTGCTGCTCTATCTGAAAGATCTCCAGAGCATAACTGCTGCTCTATCTAAAAATCTCAAATGGCAATGGACATGCGCTAGTGACTAAAAACACTTAAAACGACTTCACCTTCTTGAAGGTGAGTTACTTCTTAAAAAGAACTTGTTTTTTAAACTTTAACAATAACTCAAACATAACGCTTTAAGGTAAATAGCACAAAATCACCTCATATCACCTCAAATAGCACAAAATCCCTCAAATCATAGCTCAAGCAAAGCACAAATAATCAATCATAAACATAACCAAGCAACGGTAACCAATTCGCTAAAATACTTAAAATCATAATACTTAAAAGAATACGTAAGGCGTAGAATTTACCCCCTTTACACTCACCTTATTATTCCAGTCGACTGACTCGAGATTTCTTCCTCCGACAACACTAGTTTCCGTGTTCAAACTTGGTTACCCACATCATTCAATCCATCATCCTTGCAAATCAGCTCACGTATGAGCTTTCTCTTCATCCCATCTATGAGGTGGGCCACCATCTTTCGAATTTGTGGTAGTCCACCCACTCTGCTTCTCCATGTAGGCGCCGCCTGCTGCTCTCCAATTAATCTTCCCTTTGGTCCAATTAATTTTAAGCGCCCACTTCCTTCCATGGTTTCCCCCGACTATTACCTATCGTCTCTGCCTTTCCAATTTCGTTCTTCTTCTCTCTGGGAAGCGCCATTGTTTTGGGTAGGGGGGATTGAGAAAAGTGATAAGACTCCACGAAAGGATGTTTGGCAACAAATGGTCTTTCACTCTGTCAGCGGTGGAGTTGTTTAGCTTTTCAACGATGACGAGCTCTTAAGGTTCGATTTGGATCCCTCATCAGCTTCAAGAACCGACTTTCGTTCAACGACTGGTTTGTCGTCAACCTCTAGCTTCTCCTAGAGAACAGGCTTTTCATTGATGATTGTTCCTTCCTCTATCTTTGGGACCTCTTCGACAGCTTCGGGCTGATGATTCTGGGTCTTGCTGGTCCCACGCGTGGCTCTACCACCCTTCATAGATCCAGATGCCGCCGCTCCGTGCTTCAGGATTCATGGAGGCATTGCTTGCTTCAGTCTTCCAAACGAGCTTGCCGATGAAAGATTTTTGTGAACCTAAAACCCTAAAGCCTTGCAGAATGAGATGAATATGAAATGAGAACCTTGTGTAATGTCGTGAATTGTTTCCAGGAGAAAGACAAACCCTAGCTCCATCCGCGATGGAATTACTTTTCTGTTTTCTTTTTTTAATAATAATAATAATAATATAGTAGTTATTATAATTATTATATTCATAATCTACGGTTGCAACCCTTCGTACGTAACCGTTAACACAACCGTTCCCGTATTTTGGTCGAACCTAAACCCAAAGTCGGGGTGTTACACCCTTCTTCTTAATGTATGATTTGGTGATGGTGTAAGATAACGAAGGAGTAGACCGAGGAAGAAAGATTATTTGGTGATGGTGAAAGAAAGAGTAGCGGCGAGGAAGAAGCAAAAAGGTGATTGTCGTGTGTGTTAGGGTTTTTGAGTATTAACTATATATTAATGGTAAATTACTATATGATACTTGAAATAAAGTTACAAATCAGCTATTAAACTTTTTATTCATTATATTATGTATATAAATTGTTAAATAGAGTTTAAATCGGGCTAAAGCGATCCAACCATTAACCCTTCGCCCACTTGCTCAACTAGGTCAATGGGCTAGACTTTCGAAGCTTGAGTATCACATCCTCCCCCCCCCCTCCCCCGTCGAGTAGCCTTCAAGGCACTCCATATATATAGTTTCCTTAAGATCACCATGCACAAATGCATTTTTCACATCAAACTGAATGATATGCCACTACTTCATAACTGCAACTGCAAACAAACTCTGAACTGTCTGCATTTTTGCTACAGGATCAAAAGTCTCATCAAAGTCAATTCCATATTCTTTTTTAATACCTTGAGCCACTACCCGCGCTTTAAAGTGTTCAATCGAGCCATCAGAAAGCATCTTGATGGCATATACCCAATGACTTCCAATAACCGATACACAAGGAAACCGGGGAACAACATACCAATTATGTTTTGCTTCTAGAGCATCAATCTCAGTAGTCATTGCAACATCCTATCGTGGATCACCCTTCGCATAACGATAGGGGGTAGGAAGAAAAATACCATGATATGTAGAGTAGCCAACATAGTAAAAAAGGCGAGGCGGAGGGTGACCCAAATTCGTCCGAGCAGAGCGGCGAGGAGAAGGCAAAGGAGGTGGACTAGCCATTTCTTGGTTGGAATCTGAGGAAGCAGACAAGAGACGAGGAGAAGAGTCCCCACTCGAACCCGAGCTGTCTCAGCTGAAGACGCGCGTGACTCGAACGTGGGAGCAGGAGAAGTTTCGCTGGAGGAGGCGGATGCAGAATGGCCAGAAGGAGTGTCGGGTGGAGAGACCCCAATATTAACATCCTTCATTTGCTGGTGTCCTCCATGGCCATAAAGAGGGCCATAATCAGGACCCATACTCGGAACAGGAGAATCAAAGACCGGCAGCTGAAGAAGAAAGTTTAGAGATGAGGAGGTCGGGTCGGACGAAGCAACATAGAACATTTCAGACTCCAAAAAACGTAACATGACAGGAAATATGCATCCTACGCTCTTGAGGGTGGTAGCACAAATACCCTTTATGCTGCGCACTATAGCCCACGAAAACACAAAGAGCAACCTTCAGAGCGAGCTTATGACGTGCCTTCTTAGATAGAAACACAAAGCAAACACACCCAAAGACCCGGAGTCTAGAATAATCAGGATACTTATTATATAAACAATGATAAGGAGAACGATCACCAAGAACATATGTAATTTAATGGTTAATTAAATACACAACGGTGCTCACAGTCTCAACCTAGAAGCCATTAAGGATGTGTGAATGAAATAGAAGAGCACGAGTTAACTCAAGGATATGCCGAAGTTTCCTTTCCACTAGACCATTTTGCTGCGAAACACTGGGACAGGATTGCTGAGAAAGAATACCATGAGAAGAGTAGAACTCAAGTAATGGAGACGCAATAAATTCTCCCCCATGATCCGATCTAATAATCTTCACATGTCAACCAAATTGAGTCTCAACCATTTGCACAAACGATGATAAAGCACTAGGGGGTGCTTTTGATCAAAGTAACGCAGCAAACACACTCTCGAACGATAATGATGGAAAAGGTAGACTTTCGCCACAATCAAGGTGATTACCTGATTGATAAGAAAACTCGTAAATCGATTCTGGAATCCTCACAGAAAAGATTAACAAGGGTTCTCGAATTAGCAATGGAATCCTCACAAAACTAACTCAAGGATTTGATTCTTGAGAACTCTCAAAGAACACAATTCTCACAAAGGAGCAATTTTCATTCAACTCAACTCTGCTTTACAACGTGAATTGGAAAGGTATTTAAAGACAATAAACCCTAATACAACCCTACATGAACAAGGAAACTAATTATGGTAAAAACAAACTCTAAAAAGGACTCAAAATTCGGCCATATACTTCCTTTCTTGGCGCACAAGTAAGCTGCCAGCAAAACAGTCAAAAGGCAGCTTTCGTACTAACTTCGCGCCCTTCGTTCGAGGCCTTCCCGAACTCCAATTATTCATCCGATTCCTTCTCTTGGTAGATAAACATACCTAGTTTCATGTTGTGGAAGCCTTTGGACTTGAATCAGATCTATACTCCTCGAATTAAGCTCCAAAGTAGGCTTCACAAAACAGTTTTCTGCCTTAGTCATTTTCTGGCAGTTTTCCAGTTTTGAGGTAGCAACTTTGAGGCCTTGGAAAACAACCTTAATGACATCATATAGATCCAGAAAGCATACCATTGGAAACATGGAAACTTTCTCTGTAAAATAAGCCCTTAAACATGCATTTCCACCAAGCCAATAGAGAGAACCATACCTCCAAAGTATGTACCCTGAACACGGATTTTGACTTAGCCAAATTCTGCCTTTCTTCTTCCCAACTTTGATAGCTTCTTTGTCAAGTAATTGTGACGTGTACAGTTGGCTATTTGGGATCATATCAAACGACTTAGCATAATCCACCAGTTCCGACTTCTGTCGTAGGAAATATATCCAAACATAGAGAGTAGTATGATACACAAATAAAAAAATACCTAAATCCCATCCGAGAAGTGACAGGAGAAGGCCCCCTAAGATCGGTATGAATAAGATCAAAGGGGGAATCATACTGTGGATCACTTGCAATGAAGGTAGACTAAGTGGCTTTAGCTTCGATGCAACTGATACAAGTGTGAGACAGATGAAATTTTGGATTAATAGATTCAGGTAACAAATTACGACGAAACATAGGCAATAAAAGAGTTGTATGTGGATGTATGTCCAAGCTGATAATGCCATAAATCCCATAAAGAAATAGACTTATGTGACTTACAACCACCAGTATCCAAATTCTTGACCGAAAAAATACTCAAAAGCCGAGACAAATCCAAAGTATGAGTCTTAACATCATTGTTTTCCAAACCCAAAGAGACATAATTATTGAAAATGTGTTGTGAAGAACCATGACTGACACTATCCAGCTCCTCGTCCCACACTCTTATCGGCGACCGCCGATACTTGTCAGAACAAACACTCGGCCTTCTTTCTTACCTGTTCCCAGAACCTTCCTAGTTTTTTTATCCTGCATAACATAGTCATGATCATTAAAAGTCACCACACACCCTTCTTCAGTCAACTTCCCAAACTGAAACCAGACTAGGAACTAATTTCGGCATATATAAAGTATTAGCCAACTGAATATCACCAGTGCACGCAGTCCCCAAACCAGAAACATGAATATGAGCCCCATTCACTACTTGCAATGAGCGCATGTGGGTTGGTTTAATGGAAGAGAAACTCATAGAAGAATTAGTCATATGATTATATGTCGTAGAATCAACCAAACAAAGAGGAGTATTACCAGAAGTAGTAGAAGTGGCAAAGGCTGAACTCAACATATATGGAATTCCCTCTTGCAATGCCTCGGTCACTATCTTGCGCACATCTGCTGAGGTGAAGATAGTACCAGCGGAGGAAGAGGATGCGGCAGGCAAGGAATGAGCAGGAGCAGCGAGAGAAGCTACTGCATAACTCGAACCGAAAGCCCCACTCGCCCGAGGTTGGTGATTTGGACAGTAGCCGCCTTTCTTAGCAAGAAACTTGCAATCCGTGATGACATGGACTGTCTGTTTTCATTGGATACACAGATTCCGACATCGGCAATGAGGTTGAATGTGACAAATCCGCGAGCTAAAGTTCCCCTGTTGAAATTGAGGACGATGAGAATTACTCTTGCCAACTTCAAAGGTCGAATCACCAGCAGTAAAATTATCCAACTTGGCTTGACTCCTAAGACGAATCTCTTCCTTGATCTACTCAGCAAGGGCCTCTTCCACACTGCTCGCCTGACGATGAAGAAGAGATACTTGCAGGGGCTCAAATTCGGGATGAAGTTTGCTCAAAAACTGCATAAAACGAGAGCGAGAACACTCCTTCAACACTTCTTTTGATGCAGCAATAGAAACTAGAGAGGCTGTAAGCATGTCATATTCGGTCCAACGTGTCATTAAGGCTTGTTAATAAGACCAAATATCACGATCACCCTGATGAAAAGAAGAGAGCTCAGTTTCGAGCTCAACCTGTCGAGCAACCTGTGAATATGTGGCGTGAATATAAGTCCACATCTACGAAGCTAAAGAAAATCAACTAAGACTAGGTGCCATTCCAAGATCTACAGAAGTAAGTAACCAGTGAATAACTTGGGCATTACCTGCATCCAATCCTCAATCTCCTTCTCGATGACCCAACAGCAGGTTTGGGAAGAGTCCCATTCAATATCGTGAGCCGACGCTTGCCTTCAATAAAAGTGCGGAACTGATATTCCCACAATGGAAAATTTATTCCATCAAGCTTTGCGGTCACCGAATCCATCTTTCTCGTATCCATAGCAAAAGACATATGCAACACCCCGACATTTGGAGTTAGGTTCGACAATAATAAAAGAACAGTTAGATCGACGGTTGCGTTTGGAGTTAGGTTCGGCAATAATAAAAGAAAGGTTGCAACAATTGATTAGTAGTAATAACTAATAATAGGGTTAATTGCATGGTTGGTCACTGAAATTACAAAAAAACGTTCAAGTTTGGTCACTCGAAATATTTAAATCCATTGGTGGTACTTTAGTTTACTGAAACCGTTCACGTTTGGTCACTCTCCGTCCAACTCTGTCAACTTTTGCTTACGTGGTGGTCAACTCTAAAAGTTGACCGTTAAATGTGTGACGTGGAAATTTAAAAATAATAAAATTAAAATTTTCAAAATCAGCATCTCATATCCACCTCATTATCACTTTTATTTAAAATAAATAAAAAACACTAATTTCTTCTAATCCCAATACCAATACCCGCCAGCAGCATACCCCCGCCGCATTCGCGGATCATACATTCAACTTCCCCTCGTTGTCATTGATGCGACCGTCATCTCTTCTCATGTTGAACCGGTGGAGGATCCACTTGGCGTTCTCGCTGGCGAATTGGAATTAGGGTTTTGGTAGCTGAACCTCTTCCCCGTCCCGATCCACCGCTCGTCCTGCTCAATCGGCGATCGAGCGCGGCTGACTAGCTTGAACAGGATCCCGATGTCCTCGCCGTGCTAGTTCCCGTCGTTCCACCCGACCTTCTGAATCGCTCTCTTGTTCACGTCGCCACCGGATTTTGCCTTCTTCTTGAGCTCGGTAAATGCGTAGACGTCACCAGGCTTCTCGCTGGAGGACTGGAGGCGCCGCCAGATCTCCCACGGGTCGTCGTTGACGTAGAGATCGTGGCAGCAGATGGCAGAGTAGTGGGCCTGCGGCGGATGTGGTTGTTCGGCGAACATTGGTATTGGGGATTAGAAGAAATTAGGATTTTTTTATTTATTTTAAATAAAAGTGATAATGAGGTGGAAATGAGATTACAATTTTGAAAAGTTTAATTTTATTAATTTTAAATTGCCACGTCACAAATTTAACGATCAACTTTTAGGGTTTACCGCCACGTAAGAAAAAGTTAATGGAGTTGGACGGAGAGTGACCAAACGTGAACGGTTTCAATAAACTGAAGTACCATCAATGAATTTAAATATTTCGAGTGACCCAACTTGAACGTTTTTTTGTTTGTAATCTCAGTGAACAACCATGCAATTAACCCACTAATAATAATAACTACTGTTTTATAATTAAGAAAAAGAAAATAGCGTTGATCGCCCACGACTTCCCAAACTGCACAAACCCTATTTGAATAAAACCTAAACCCTGATGAGCCCCAAGAAGGGTCTCGAACTCAGAATCACGTAGCGAAGGTAAGGATGGTGGTTTTGTGGTGTTTTCGTAGTAAACAAAGGGTTGAATTTTGATGAAAAAAAAAAGGAACCAGGTGAGCAACCTCAACACAAGGGGAGGAGGCTAGCGACGGTAGAATTATCAATCAACCAAAGGTTTATACTTGGTTCGATTGATCTGCAATCCGTGGCGAAACAACCAAGAAAAATCCGAGCTTTCAAACTTGGGCAACTCCTAGGAGTAGTTTTCGATTAAACTTCAACGTGTTTCTACAATGAATCGAGCAAAGCTTTCATAACCAAAAGAATAAACAACTAACCTACTTAAACAGGGAAACAAATTGGAACAAAATTGGTAAAATAAATCTACTCTAATAAGGAATCTTCTAACTCAAGTAATCCGACTTGCACAATGAATTATGCCTTACTGCTCATGTCTCACAACCATCTTCCCTACTAGCTTGTAGGAAATGGCCTTCTGGACGAGTCAAACTCAACCAACTCCTTCTCGTGGCTTAGAAAGTTGTACACTGTCATCTCCAACTCGAAACTCCAGTTGGTTGAGTCCCAAGCTTGGCTTGAAAATCAATCTTCCTGGCTTTTCCTTAAAAATCCAAGCACTCCACATTGTAGAGGAACATCCAAACTTCAAAACAAGCCATCAACCTTGAATTTTTAATAAGCCAATTGAGAGAACCAACCCTCCAAAGTAGGGTTCCCGAAACTGTTCCAATACTTGGACAATTTCCAGCTTACTTCTTTTCAACTTGATCTGATCTTTGAGCGACAAATTAGAACTTGTAAGATGATTGAATCGAGTTCATATCAAACCCACCTCTCTCTTCACTAGCGCCACAACAGCCAAAAAACCCTGTCTCCCGTACTCGTTCCCCTACCACAATACCCACTCCCTCGCGACACGAGTGTCAAAATAAACCCCCAGCAACTGGACCCCCATCCCCACTACTCCGTAAGCAGCCACCATCGTTCCCCTCACCAATAGCAGCAGCAGTCTCCTCCCTCCCGCAACCTTCCTCCTCGGAAACCGTCGGTGACGGGAGACAGCGACGACGCCGCACAAAACCATCATCGCCACCAACGTCAGCACCTTCTCTTGTCGTTGTAGTGGTAAGATTCCCAATCCTCCCTTGTCCAGAAGCTCGATCGTGGAAGACCGTTTAACCCAACGAATGCTCGTGACTAGCGAAGCTTCGACGACGGTCCCTGCGTAGGAGACTTCGAACATTCTTTGAGTGGTGGGTATCATCGCGAAGAGGACGATCCCAGGAGCATCCCGGTTTCGATGAAATTGAATTCCGAAAGTGTGAGACGCAAATTAGATAGTTCAGGTACCTATACTATATATTCAAAAATATAAGGACTAAGTTGGTAATTTTGAGAAATATCCATATTAGTGCCCTATATTCCCAGTACGAGCAACTTAGTCCCTACTGTTTTAAAAACATTGAAAATTGGTCAGAAATAGTATTTTTCTAAAAATTATTATTATTATAGTTGCTCTATATTATACATATCATGGTGTGATAATTTTATAAATAGGTTAAAATCAATAGAATGTCTGGATATTTTTTTGAGAATTTTTGGAGCTATCTTTATGATTTTAAAAATAGTTTGAAATATGGGTTTAGTTAAATAAAAGGTACTATAGAAATTTTGTCGGGTTTGATAATTTTAGTCAAGGCAAGATACGCTTATGTTTGCCTAGGAATTATTTGGGGATTTTTTAAATCGTTTTGTTATTTATAAAAATTGAGATTCTGTCAGATTTAATTTATTAAATTACTGTACGAATATATAATTAGTTTGTTAATTTTTTGAAAAACTATAATATTGGTTTCATGTTTTAAAATTAAGATCATGAATTTTAGGCGCTTGTAGTATAGATTTAAAATTTAGATTATGTTTTGAGTTATTCCAAGTTATAATTTTGAGTTTTTAAGAGGCAAAATATTTTTGGAAATTTATGAGATCTATTTAAAGAAATTTTGAGTTGATAGTAATAATTCAAGTTTTGAAAAAGTTTGGAAAAATTTTCAATTTTTGAGAAAATTATTTAAAGAGGTTGAGAGACCTTTTTAAAGAATTTTGGGACTAAGCTAGGAGGACGGAAAATTTTACGGAATACCGACTAAGGATAATTAATTCAGGATTAAGAAAATGATCAAGTTAAGAGAATCCACGTCCAACGAATTAAGAATCGGCACTTTAGAGGTGAGTGCATAAGGGGTATATTCTACGCCTTACGGTATTTAAGTTTTTGCGATTGACTGCTATGTGCCATACTTGCCTTTGTATGTTTATATGATGCCATGTGAGATCGTGTTTGTATGCTTTCAGTTTTATGTTATTGCTTTACTTACAACTATGTTCAAGTTTAAGAAACAAGTTTTCTTTTAAGTTCTTAACCTTTATGAAGGTGAAATAGTTTTAAGTGTTTGTAGTCATTAGTGCCAGTTCGTTGCCGTTTGAGATTTTGAGATAGAGCAGTAGTACGCTCTTCAGACTTTTAAGATGAGCAGCAGTTATGCCCTTGAGAATCATGGAAGAAGAGCCTTCCACGATAAGTTTAAGTTTAAGGAAAGCCTGGACAGTCATACGTATGAGTTGGGCAACCAGACTAGCTAGTGAGGGATCCCCGTGCCAGTCAAAAGATTTAAGTTAAGATTTGAGCTTTAAGAAGGGAGAATAACTTTAACTCCCGAGTAAGCATCAAAGAACTCCTTAAACTATTAAGACTTTGTGGTTATGAGTTTAAGACTGGAGATTCGTTTCTTTTGTTTCTTCTAAGAGTATGATTTGAGTTTTGCCCACATGTTTAGCGCTTTGCTTTGAGATATTAAGATATTTGAGATCGGGGTATTTTATTCAAAGTTATGCTATTTGAAATTTTTAAATATACCCCTGGGTAGAAATGTCTTTTTCCAAGTTTCAAAGTAGTGGGATGTACAAACGACTTCCACTAGTTAAAGTTAAGTATTTAAAGAAGAATACTAAAGCGCTATAGACTTTTAACGTAAGAGCGTAGATTGAACCCAAATCACTCACCAGATCGTAGAGGAGAAGATCGCAATCAGCTAGTCCGTGACCAGCAGGCTAGAGGAGCTCAACACCACCGCTACTGAGGGATGTCGAGCCAGGCATCAGAGTAAGCATCGATGAACTCCTTAAACTATTAAGACTTTGTGGTTATGAGTTTAAGACCGAAGATTCGTTTCTTTTGTTTCTTCTAAGATTATGATTTGAGTTTTGCCCACATGTTTAGGGCTTTGCTTTGAGATATTAAGATATTTGAGATTGGGGTATTTTATTTAAAGTTATGCTATTTGAAATTTTTAAATATACACCGGGGTAGAAATGTCTTTATCCAAGTTTCAAAGTAGTGGGATGTTTCAACATATAAATCAATGCATTCCCCCAATAAACTAATAAAAAACAGTCGATAATAAATAGGTACCCTTGGCCGCAGAACACAAGCTGAAGACCCGCAGCAAACAAAACCCATATCGAACAAGAACCACAATTGACCAAAGCTGATGACGCCAAAACAAAGACCCACAATCAAGGAAAACGGTCCGGAGAGAATCACAAAGTCAGCGGAAAACTTGATGAAGTAAAAGAAGTTTTGTGCTCAAGAACTCACAGCGGTCGTCCTAGCCAACGAAAGAGGATTAGTCTGCAGGCTCTAATACCATGTCAAACCATCAAAACTGAGCTGAATATGAAAGAACACACAGAGTTTTTTAACGTGGTATCATCAGAGTGACACTAGTCCACGGAGAGGATCTCCCTCTCAGGTTTTAGTCTTTTCTTATTTCGTTACCTTCAACGTCACATACAACCAGCTATATATAGGTTTGCTAACACAAACCCTAACTACATAATTACATATTGGTACCTATACTAATATAATCAATAAAGTATGGTATTGATATGAATTGACAATCATGCATAGAGAATAGGATGCAAAGATAACTAACATGTCGAAGTGGTTTGACACATAGGAATGAAGGTCATGTGATGTTTAACTTAAGTGTTGGTCCGAACCAAAAAAGGTGAGACATGGATACTCACAATACGAAAAAAGTAATTGTTGGGGGCATGGCTCGGGTCCAACCGCGCCAACAACCCTATGTGCATCATCCTTGGGAACACAAGGATCCTGGCAAGGCATAGTGCTGAAACGAACATGTACCCTCCCGACACCACTTGTGTGAATACCAACTTACGGAAGGAGTAACCCGCCTAGACCTTGGCGCGGACCGCAAGCAGACGAACGCCCGCGCGATGAAGAGTTCAAGACGAAGACGTATCGCTGACAAGACATCGTGTCTCATCCATAGACCTCATCATTGCCTATATTCCTACCATTGTCAGACGTCATTTCACATTTAATACCCACTCACCGGAACCGGCCCTATAAATAGAGCATTTACTCTGGTGGGTAAGGAGAGGGATTTCAGCTTTATCTCTTTAAACCTGAAGCTTCTATCCCTAGAATTTCTCTCTCTCCCTCTTGGGTCCTTTGTAATACTCTGAATTAGCGAAGTATAAAGGTTGTTCATTCTCTCATTCTACTCACACCCTCGAAAACTCTAGTCTCACTCCTACACTCAGTTAGACATAAAGAGCAATCATATGATCTCACATAATTATGAGTAAGTAAGAACCCTAGATGTGAGCTTGTCAAAAGTTACATGCATCTTCGTTTCTCTACTTTGATACTATGTCTGGTGGCTTTAACGAGTGCACCAAGTGGGTGGTCATTGGGTACGAGCTATAGGTGTGAAAGGGATAAGACAAAGCATGATAAACTATTGTCCCATCTATGCTTAAAAAAAATTGAAAGATTAAGTTAAAATAAAGAGGATACAAGCCAATTTAAAATAGCAGGAAAAGTGAAAAAAATGTTTTAATGTCACTTCTTAAATTTTACATCACTCAAAACCAAAGGGGCCAAATCTGGTTATGCATTTGTGCATAACTAAAGGTTACACATAGGGATGTCCGTCAGTACGTGTGTCAGTTTGGCTGTTTAGATAAGATTAAGTTGTATTTTTGGTCGGATTTATTCGAGTTTGATCACCCAAAAATTGTATCCAACCAGAATATCACCTGATCGCAACAAACAAATATGTATCCACCCAAAAAAATTTATAACTAAATGGTTCTACGAGTAGATCGGTTCAGGTTGACGGTTTGGATCAGCTCCCGAAATAATATGTGTCACCCTGTGTATATATCATATCCTAATTTCCTTATACTTTTAACGAAACCTACAAAATAGGACTGTTATATTAATGGACAATTATTGACCATACATGCTACTAATGTTTATTTGGTCAGAAATAATGGAAAAGGGATACCTAATGAGTGCTTTATTATCTGTTTGAGTCCATGTATGTAGTCCAAACAAATTATCTTCCGTTTCAATCAGTCAGAATTTGGAAAGAAAAATGGATTCTTTCTTCTGGGTTGCTTGTTAAAAACTAATCACGATTGGTGTAATTTCATCGATGAGAAACAATCAGGCAATGATTTGATTGGCTGATTTCCATCTAGCCTTTAATAATTGACATTTAGCCGTCAATTCACATTTCCTCTCTGTCTATTATTTGTGGTATATATGATTGATTGGTCATTTGGGAGCAGATCATGTCAGTTACTGATGGGTCATTTGGGGAGTAGATACTCTCTTTCATGCCAGTAAAAATTGCATGGTAACTCTCTTTCAATTTTTAAGTGAAGAAATGCATTTGGGGAGCAGATCATGTCAATAACTGATGGGTCATTTGGGGAGCAGATAATGTATGATATTGCGTGGTAACGTAATATCACACAATACCATATGGTATAGAATGATAATATCAATATATATTTCATTACCACGCAATACCATACATTACCATAGGGTATAGTGTGGTAATATCAATATATATTTCGTTACCACCCAATACCATATGGTATAGTGTGGTAGTATCAATATATATTTCGTTACCACCCAATACCATATGGTATTGTGTGATATCCAATACCATATGGTATAGTGTGGTAATATCACACAATACCATATGGTATAGAATGATCAATATATATTTCGTTACCACGCAATATCATACATTACCATAGGGTATAATGTGGTAATATCAATATATATTTCGTTACAACCCAATACCATATGGTATAGAGTCATAATATCAATATATATTATCTAAAAGGAAAAAAACAGAAGGAGGGAGAGAAAAAATCGTCTTCTGATGCCTCTCATTTCCTCTTCCTCAATCAAGAACACCAAAATGCCAAAAAAATGAG